GTATTATTGTCGCTTTCTTATATAAATGCAGTAGAACATGATTCGGTATGTTCGATTTCTTTTTGAATTTTCACTCGGTTTTTCGTAGTCGAGCGTGCGCCATGCTTTCCACTCTTCAGTACTTTCGGCCCAAGATTCATGGTCCCATTCAGTGCAGACTGCAGCTTTATTATAAAGCATGCTTTGGCAAAATGTGATCCACCTTTCTGTCGGCGTGATCAGCTGCATCATATGTAGTGCGTGATGTTGACGCAGTTGTTCGACTACTTTTGGTTCATTGCCTGTCGCATCCAGCACAACCCCATAGGTAGCTTGTAGTTGCTAGTCTGGCGCTCACGTCGAAGCAATTTCATTTCGTGGTGTTACGAGTGATAACTACATTACCATACCAAAACGGTTATTGTCTTCTCGTCGTTAACGATAAATCACACTCGTTGAGAAAAGATGATCGTAGAGTCATCTTTCTCGTTAGGGATTTCGCAGTTAAGTGGGCTAAGAGTGATCATTCGATGGATCGTCAGCCTTTAGCGGTCGTTGCGTAGATTAGAAGGATGTCGTTGATACGATGTTTGTGTATGTCGCTGTGTCAGTGTTTGATCGGAAGTTGATAAATTTTCCCCCTTGAACTAGATCTTTCGAAATTGTGTACACCTCTCCTGCCAAATGGCTGTCACTTCAGCCAACTGGCTCGAGTCCTTTGGCCGGGGATGACCTTGGCTCCAGGAATCTCGAATAGTTGTACCAGAGATGATAATACATATCAGCGAGTGCTGATCCTTAAGCTAGAAATATGAAAAGCAACATCATTCTACCAAAATGGGAATGTTGAAACGGGTCAGCGGATGGATGAGACTGGAGCGAGTTCGACACGAGGTAAATAGTGCAGTGATAAGATTAGCTGCCTTCTTCCTGAAGATGCGAGAGCAAGGCTTGTCATGATATCGACACATTTTGATTAGGCCACGGGATCTCCCGATGAAATTTAATCGTAGTCTCGAAATAAATGTTGGTATTATATATGTGTATCTTTCTTGTATGTACTAATATTCATATATTCTCATGTATTTGATGCTGTCATCGAAATTTCTGTGAATTCCGTCATCAACACCAATTGCCTTCTGAAGCTCACCTTCTGCTGATGTCGGCCTTCAGACAGGCTTCAGTCTTATCATCTGTAATCTGCGTTCGCTTCAAATAGAAATACTCTCGGTCAGCTGCAAATGAGGCTATGAAATCCCAATGAAACACCCTCACTGATGTATACTTTCAACGAGGATTACATAGTAGAATGGCATTCAGATATGTGATGATGATCGTGACGATAGTTGCCCAGAACCGACGCATACAGTGATTCGCCTAGCAAGACGAGACGATGCATTGGCGAGAAAAATTGCTGCCGATCATGGAATGGAGGTTAGGGTGAGTGACTACAAGAGTAATTTTACTATGTTAAAACTTTTTTTGGCAATTTTCAATACTTGCTGAACTCGGAGACGACCTGTTGATATTGAGATTCAAGCAGAAAACTTCCCATGGGCTCTTGAACACCAGTAATTTAAACGCATGTCTGGAAGTATGATAGAGGGTTACATTGCAAGTTCAATTTGTTAGAAACACATAACTGGGAGCTCCTTCTTCATTAGAAGTGTCAATTCATAACTTTTGCGAGAGATGGCTCACGTCCAGGATTTACTGTCGTTAGCGGTAAGGCACCAGTTGGTCCTGTTTGCACGACTCAGCCGCTCGGATCGGTGTGAGGGTGCGAAAGAGGAACAGAATGGTGTGTGTTCACGGTACTTTGCACCTGTTTTTTTTGTTTTGGATTTCGGGTTTACTTCAATGTTTTTGTTATCCAAAGCACAAACTTCCTATATAATTACAAACATCTATATGGCAGGGAGAGCATACTGGGTGGGGCACTTGCGAAGCTGGTGAACAAGGCTGCATATGGCTGGAGGGTTCGCAGAACCTTCAAGTCAGTCGCAGCCTACTCCCTCCTTCACATGTGTTCACTAATGAGGGTTGTGCTCTTTCATGATGTAGCACTTTTCCTTTAACTCTTGAATCAAATTTCTTGTGCAGTACACCGCAGTAGGCTGCGTAACAGTGGCTACACAAACAATTGCCTGAAAACAATAGTTCAATCAATTTTCGGAGTGTCTAATGCTGGAGTGCTAAGTTGATCTCGTCATTCTTTTCCTGAATGTAAACGAATGGTGCTCTTCACAGATGCACTATAACTTGCCAGATACGTAGTCTGCAGAACTGGGCTTCAATACATTCTACTAGATCCATCCTAGTTAATAATATTTTT